CCAGAATACCTTGTTGGCCGTCTGAAAATTCGATTCCAGCTTCTCACCGAACTTTTCCAAGTAACCAGCTTTCGCTTTGCACGATGCTTTGTACTGCATTCGAGATGAAGGCTCTTTGCATTCAAGCTTCCTCTTGAGCAGCCACGAGTAGGCCCCTCTTAAAGTGTTTCCACTCGGTTTCCACGTTAATCGTCATTACGTAGGTACGTTAAAACCTCCCTTTGTTGTTGTTTCCAAGGTTGTCCTCGTCACCGCATAAGATAATGTTTTCCATTTAATTCTCTGGTTGCTTCTACCGCCAGGTCTTTCCATGTTTCTCCACTGTTTACAGTGAAGGGGTGCCAACAGCAAAGTGATGATTAGTTGACGGCTCTGCACCTCTTTTAGCCCGAACATTCAAATCAGACTGTACGATTATCAAATCGATCATGGACTTCTGTGCGCAAAGTTCCCTATGTCAGGTATAGTGATGCACGTTACAATGCTCGAAGATACTCATGACAGGCAGTTGTCATATGCTCAAACGCGCAATGGTTTCTTGCCGTTATTATTTAGGTCACTAGGACCATTCTCTCCAATGTCGCCCTTCCACTTTCCAGTATCTGCTCCGATTACTTGGCATTGAAATCGTCCATTAGAGTGAGGGACTCTATAGTCGGCACTTCGTACAGAGCATCTTATTCGTGCAGGAAGGACTCATATTCTTCCTCTGCATTAGGCGTATGAACTTGTAACAAGGTCAAAGCTTTAGCCTGTTACAACTTTAGCGATTGCCACCACTCTGCTGACAGGCTTCTTTTCAAGGGTTCTGCCAGCCAGGTTGGGTTTTATCATAATGCCAGCTTGAACGCGTGTTGTGAAATCGTTGAAAGTGGAACTTAAAGTTTAAATGCTTTTTTTGGCGTTTATCGTATCCATTGAGAGTTGAATCCTTGTTTAGGTTTATTGAAAATTTACTGTTGCCGTCCATAGACAAGGTATCTGGGCGCTTACTGACGAACCTCTTAGTTTCGTTAATATGAGAATTGTTTTGTTTCCTTACGTGTACTTCTTGTAGGAAAAATTTGTAATCTTGGCGACAGGAATCGTACGCGAGGTTGCCATAGTCCGATGGAAATGGCCCACTGCTATCTTCTTTTGTACGGTCGATTTCTTGGAGTACAAGCTAGAGGTGCTTCTTTATTTCTCATAGCTTAGTCTCTGCAGTCTTTTTCTTCATCTTCCGTGTCTTTGCCTTGAATGAATCAAAAACATCTTGTCTCATTTTAGATAGCGTTTTGTCGTTCTGGTGCACCTTTTTTTAATCTGTTTGATCTGGCAAACAAAACAGTAAGATTGTATGTGAATGGAGTTTATTTATTAAATCAGAATCAGGATGCAGACGTAAATACGGCTACGTATACCTGTACAGGTGACAAGCCCCGAACCGACCACTGATTTCTTCATAAATTCAGATTTTCTGCTGGTTAGCATCTGAATTTATATGATGATATACTAATCAAATATTTTTGATAGGTGTTTCCCGTAGTATATTCAACAACGTGGATGCGGTTTGTAGGCATGAACTGCATGGGCTATAATACCACTGAGCCGTAATCTTCTAAAACGCTTCTGTGAATATTTCGAGACGAAAGGGTAATACGATCATGTCGAGTTAATGTGTACACGTATAGGAGAATAAACAGCTCTGAATACGAGCATAGGCAAATTTGTTCAACATCTTTGTAAACTTATTTACTCAGTTTGTGTTGATATTTGTGATGTTCTGTGAAAGCAAGTAGAAGAAGACCGGCGTTTTTTAAACACTGTTGCTCCAGCCAATGGAGTGATTCAAGTTTGCATTTTTAACAAATATCTTTCTTCAGAGCTATCTATGTTTGTTTTTATCAGTCGTCTCATTCTTATAAATTATATCTGAGGTTAGTGGAAACGTATCGTGGTTGCACAGGATTTGGTAAGAATCCAAAATTCAGGCGTTTCGCAAAATTTTTTTTTTAGACGGAATAATGAGACGTTGCTTCTGAAGAACCAAGGGTTTTTAGACAAAATGGAGCAAGGTACATCAGCCACTGCAGTGGCTGGTGCTGAAAACATGGGCGGCCCTTATCCGTTACAACTGTCCTTTAAAACCTTCCCGAAACCATATGGTAATAGCAGTAAACACTTGCGAAGCTACTATTCACGTTGTATGCATAAGCGAATGACTAATTTCTTGGTGCACTCTAAATCCCTTCCTCCTGGAGGCTTAGTTTTGGAAAGGGTCATTTAAACATTCTACAGTTACTTCATGTATTTTCCTTTTAAATGCGTGGTTTGGTGAGGCGGTCATTTCTTCACGCCAATGAACATTGATATTTTTTCTAGTGATAGGTGTATCATTTTATTAGAAAGGTGCTCTGAAATCTTGTCTTGGACTTCTGTCTCCCTTTTAACACATCTAAAACATACGAACCGGTATGACTGATTGTATGCACAACGAGAACTACAAGCGCGCTTAAATAATTCATAAATTTTA